TATATTTAAGCGAAAATATTTATAACGGTTCCGGTCCGGTTTTGGTTCCAAAAAGAAATAACGGTTCGGTTCTGCGCATTTTTTTCGGTCCGTAACGGTTACTTTCGGTTCTAGTTTTTCAGAAAGAATGGCATTCAAAAAATTCATTAACGTGATTTGTTAATTACCTAATAGGTGTGAAGAAAAAGTCATGAATACCAAAACGTGACGTATCGTCAGTGTAGCTAATTTATAACGACAAGGGGAATAAAGGAGGAAGAGGGGAATTATGTATTTACACTTAATTTATTACTGAAAAACAGAAAATTTTATTTTCTAGAACCTCGCCTCTCCTTTTTTATTTTTTTAAAATAGTGGCTAAATTAGCGCCGCCGCTACCCGTAATGCCTTCAATTTCGACTCCTTATTAAAAATTTATAATCCACCGATGGCAATCATAGAGTAATATTTTATCAATTTTCAGGACGTGGTTGCCGGCGCGTTCTTCAATTTCCAATAACCTGTTAAGAACCGTAAAAAAACGAAAAGAACCGAAAAAAGTATTATTGGTTCCGGTTCTCAATACGTTTCCATTTCTGAAGGAATAACGGTTTCGGTTCGGTTTTCGGTCCAGAAAAAAATACCGGTTTCGGTCCGGTTTTCGGTTCTTATTCGGTCCGGCCCTGCTCAATACTTGACTTTTATTGGACAATGTAAATGTGAAAAATGTATCTAATTTGCCGTTTGTAGCTGTTCCGGTAGAGATATTTAAACTATCTTGGCAGCACCCGAAAGCTCTTTTCGATTGGAAGAGGCGGTAAAATTTATATTGTGTCATTCCAGTTCGGTTAATTAATTATTGGGCGATTTTGGTTTCGAAATGCTAATTTAAAACTAAGATAGAAACAGACAAGGTCGCTCGTTACACGTAGATAAGCAGAGCTTGCGCTTGACCCGAGAATTCAATCCACAATGGATGCTAATTGGACTACTTAATTCTGAAATTTCAGCCCAGCCATTTGAGTGAGCGTGAGCATAAATACCGTTAAACAGATGGGTCGCAGCAATGTGTTTGGTGTCAAATGAAGCGCGCTTAATTTGCGTGAATTTTTTTTAGTACTAGTCCTAGATTGTTATCATAACAAGGGACAGAGTAATTTAACTAGAGAAATTTTAATTTTTGAACGTTATCATGAGTATGCCGACCGGTTGAAAAATCCGATGTTCCCTTTCCGCTTTTATGGATTTCATAAAAATTGATTTAGAAGGGATTTTTTCATTTTCTAGATTTTTTCGCATTTCACGAGTGCATTTTAGGTCGATTTGATCTTAAAGCCACAAGGAATATGCATTGGCCCCTCAGGCAGCAATGTGTTAACCACGGTACCACTGATGCGGGTTAGGTGCGGGGATTTTTTTTATCACAGGGCCGGACTCGCTAACCTAACAGGAGACCTTTCTACAGCGACCGTGTTTTATTCAAAGTGGCGGATATATACTGTGCAATTGTAGAGACAATTTTATTTTGCAATTTCATTTGTATTTATTTTGGCATTGCCTAAATATCGTATGGTATCAGGTATGTATATTTTGAAATTTGTGCAGTTCGGTTTATAACTGAGATGCCAAAAGGGTAGTGCAGTGTTAAAGTGATATAAAAGGTGTGATCCAACTTTTGGTATTGTGCATTTTATATGTTCTTGATATCTCGAACGCCCTGTGTAAGTGTGTAATGACTGTTGATATAACCTATCAGCACCCTATTGGTAAGTGGTAACGAAGTTAAGAAGATCATATGTCCAGAACGAACTACCGCTGTGGAAGATCTGAAGCTTTTATTTTATTTTCAGAACCTGAGTTCGCTGTTTATGCGGCGGGTTTGACGTAACGTAGCGTCAACTTGAGAGGTTTCCACCCTGTATATACAATTTACGACGATGCACACATTTTTAAGTCGGCAACCACGCAATGATTTGCGCCATCTAAAGAGCACGAACATGGGTAACGTTTGGCATCTTGTCTTGAATGGCGGTCGTGAACGTGTCGCTTCATAAATGTTTGTTATTTTGTGTTATTTAATGCACTATGCAGGTAGTAATGTTTGCATTTCTTTATATCGTATTTGTGTTTTGTATGCCGCATTTCATATTTTTGTGTGTTTGAATCTTTGTTTTTAAAATTTACTTGGATTAACCGCAAATCAGAATCACGTTTAATACAGTTATCTTTTTGTTTGTAATTGTTTACGTTTTTGGTGTAATGCTTGCTTAATTTATGTTTATTGATGTTAAGTTTTGATCATTTTGTGTGGAAATTACCGATTCGTTTGATGTACTTATGTACTGACTTGTTTGTTACTAACCATTTTCTCCGTGAATGAAGCAGTCACGGGAGTGGTAAAAACTGTAACCATTTGAAGTATGACACCTAATTCCGTGATTGTTTTCGACATTCAACTGTAGGCTCGAAACCCCGAAACCAGGGGCGGGTTACCTACCTTGCAGGAGCGGGATTACGCTAATCAAAGCTCTTCAGTTTAGAATCTATGTGCGATAAATGAGTTACGATTCGTAATTTCCACATATCATGTTATAATTTGATTTTACGCATTCATATCATTACAAACAATTAATTTTACAATACAATTTGATACGTTTTTGGTGTAATGCTTGCTGTATTCGTTTATTGATGTTAAGTTTTGATTATTTTGTGTGGAAATTACCGATTCGTTTGATGTACCTACTTATGTACATACGATACTCAAATCAATATGTACCTACCTCAAGAAAAGTTTAATCAATTTAAAGTTAATATATCCACATAGGAAATCTTTACCAATAAAAACAAAAGCTTTGTTGTGTAACTCTCTTGTATTATCGCATTTCAATTACTGCTCCGAGCTATATTGGGCGTCTATAAAGCAAGATACGGTACGACGCATTCAGCGAGTACAGAACAGTTGCATGCGAATGATTTATGGTATACGTAAATTCGAACGCATTTCGCATAAACTGCGTGATTTGAACTGGCTGATTATGAGCAATAGAAGAAGACTTCAGTTTGCAACACTCTGCCACAAAGTACTGACCACAAAGACACCAGCTTATCTCTTTAATAAAATCCGCTTCAGAACAGATGTTCATAATATAAATTTAAGATACCGCGGTTTAATTTCTCCACCAAAGCATTCCACTGCTCCATACGAACGTACCTTTCAGTACCAAATTTATAAAGTCTATAATAACTTATCTGCTGAACTCAAAGCTTCATCTCTTTCTCTCTTCAAACAAAAACTGTTCCGTTCTTTATTACATCTTCAAAATGACGCATAATTATATCATCATTTCATCAGTCACATAAAGATAAATTACAAATAATTGTTTGCAAATTAGTTCCGACGCCGACCTAACATCTCAGCATTTTAGTTTAAGTTAGAATAGGCATAATTTCACCTTGCTATTCTTATCTTTTTTCACGGCTCCAATGGAAGACCAATGGTAGTTTAACTACTAATTTGAATTGGCACCGTGTGATTCCTCATAATACTATACGTACTACTAAATTACTTCTTCTTTTCCTTTTCTAGTTCTTATCTTGCAATTTGATCATTAATTTAGAAGTTTTTCTTTATTGTTTATGAATAACTATAATCGTTTTTTTAATATTTTGATATGTGAAATTTTGATATGAGACCTATGGGGAATAAAGGCTATTATTATTATTATTATATTAGTTTGACGGCTGTTTTTTTTTATTGGTAAGTTCCTTTTTTGCCAACCTATTTCTATTTTGAATCGGTGAACTACCATTTTCAAAGTTTATTTTTGCAATGTAATATATTTCGAGTTAAACTTCCTAGCATTCACAATCTTAATAATTGCGATCATTATTAAACAAACTTTTCAAATTTGAGTGTTTTATTTTACGTTCCTTCCCTACTGTGCTTCAGATCATAGCGTTGTTTACAACCAACGTAAGTAGATGTTTTATCACGTGCCACTTTTCAAATTTAGGCGGGATCTCGTTTAGTTTTGGAGGGAATAGTCCTTCGGGTGGCCATTTTTAAACGTTGCCGGGTTAATTTTATTTCCGTGTTCTTGTTGTGTGAAGTTAGCGTAGAACCTGGGGATTAAGTACACTACAAACTCAACAATGGTTCCACGTCCGAAATATATATCAGCATACAATAATATGGGAGGCATAGATCTTATGGACCAGGCGATAGCCAACTACCTATCCCACTGGAGTACATTGAAAGAAGTACCTACTGGCTAATTTTTACCTGGTTAATTGATGGTAACGCCTGGTTTATTCTTAGAATCTCAGAAGGGAGATCATGCAAGCTTATTGCTTGACAAAATAAGGACCTGGTGGAATCAGTCTTCAAAACATATTTTCTGCCAAATGCCAGACCGATTTGACCGAACTATTTTGTTGCGCCATGTAAAAGACGGCGATGTGCCGGTGCACGATGTAAATCTTTCGGAAAAATGCATCAAAAATGCCTCTCTGTTAACTTTTTGCATAATATCACACTAAATATTGCGAATTTTATATAGAAAAAATAGTCCATGGATACCATATATGGTATTAACGTTTTCTCCTAACCTGATTCATCAAATAAATAAGCAAATTACAATTTGGGGACTATTATAGTAGTAAAGTGGATAGGGAAAAATAACAATGAATACAAAAACAAATATTATGGGCCTTAAATTTTGCGTTTCATAAAAAGTATGGCTTAAGTTAGAACAATGGACACCCTGAATACTAAGCTTCCATTTCATTAAAATTTGAGGACAGTTTCACACCTTGGTCACCACCCAAGTAGCCAGTAGGTAGTTGTGTCCCACCTTAAGAGAGTGTTATTATTCAAGTTTCAATATTATGTCCAGCTATTTTCGACACACTTTCTACTTAGGTACAAAAATTGGTAAATTGGACAGTAATAACGCTGACAATACAAGTTATACAATTGTAATAGTACATACTATTTACATTTGGCATTAATAAATGCTGAGTGCATATATAAATAAATAATATTTATGTATCAAAAAATAACATCACTTCAAATCTGATCACTTTTGTTCTTTACCAGCTTCTTCAAGCAACTCTTGTATACCATCGGGCATACGTCCGGCGTCGATTTCTTTTGCCCAAAACTGAAACTGCAAGCACCTTTTAAAAAACGTCCAAAACAGGTAGCATAAGACGTACCTTCTCCAATTCATTTTTCAGTATAAGTATCGCCTTCTCCCGATCTGCTACAAGCTCCTCCAAATACTGATACCGCAACTTCTTGCGCGCCCTACACTCCCTGGCACTTTGTCGGCTTCGCTCTAAACCGGAAAAACGTTAAAACGCCGCCGCCACAAATGACAAACCAACGTTTACCTAGCTTAGCTCTCATGTCGACCTTCTCCGCCGATTTCCTTCCAGGTTTTCGTCCACGTTTACCGGATTCCTTGCGCGGAGGGACCTCCTAAAACGAGATATCTTTAGAAACTCTCTTTTTGGGTCAAACAAATTTGCACAAATAACTTATCATAAACAGGGTTTATCATTTTAATGTTATCGTAAGTTAGTAGGAACAGGCCTTTGGCGACGATAACTTCTTCTTAACGAGCGCACGCGGAAAGAGGGGGTGGGAATTCGACAATTAATAATTGCGTGCCTGATAATGAATGTAACTGCGTAATGCGTCTAACATCCGATAGTGACTGTACAACTAAATCAAATAAGGCGGTAACTGAGGTCGTTTTTTTTCTCATTTGCGTTTGTTAAATAAGTTTTACTTAATGTAAAGAATTTAAAAATAAATCTCACCGAAAGTGCGATATACTACGTTCTGCGTCGTTAACCGGTGGAAAACGAGGTGATCTACGATACTAAAACCGTTAATATGGCGCAGTTTAGTTCGTTTCGATTGTGTATTATAATTTCGTATTCCGTTAGATAGTACGGAGCGATGCCAAAATTTGTACAATTTTACTATGCACGATAACTAAACGCAGTTGATCTCTGTTTACAAACAGAAAACGAATATTGTGCATGGCCTTCATAAATAATCCAGAGGCGTAGTTAAATGTACGGGCGATAATTTCGGAAAGAGAAAGCAGCACGACATCTATTGTTTTGCAAGAGTTCATTCATAAGAGACACAAAAAAGACGAAGGTGTTCGTACTCCCACTCGAATTGCGGAGATTTAGTATCTGTCGCTTTAATTAATTAATGACTGCCAGTCTGCCAAAAGTTTAATGAATGAAGTGATTAATTCCTTTTATTAATAGTGAACGCATATACGATCATTTTCCAGGTAGGATATTGAGATTGAGGTGGATTAAGGATTTTCCTAAAATGCGTTAGAATGTTCCTAAATATGATGTAATTACGGAAGGGCCTCATTCTGAGGATTATTTTACTAGGTTCGGAAATGCGTCGTTACTGATGTACAGGGTGTTAAAATTTCAAGATTTTTAGTTTTTTCTTTATTCAATTTTACAATTCCATGTGGATTTTTCCGCCCATATGTGGTTATTATGAAAATTTATAATTGAATTTCTTGAAAAAACTCGCCCCAATGCAAGATACGCCGGACAACTTGATGACTAATATTTAAATGATCACTGATTTTTCTGGTGATAATGTCTTGATGTTCTTCTACTTTCAGATGCGTAGGAACGAAAATTGTGGAGGGCCATGAATGGCCGAAGCGAACCGGCGAATCTCGAATCGGCCTTTCGGTTTCAAAATCAAAATAATTTGAAATTAACAATATTGGACGTATAATTCGCCCCCCACTTTTTGAATTTTCAAAATATATTTATTGCAATCGTTTATTGGTCATTTGTTGGTGTTTGTTAGTTACATTTTTACGTTTGTTGGTTGATCGTTAGGTACTTAATTATTCAAAATTCAAAAATTTGGGCGTATAGTTGGCCCCCCACTTTTTGAATTTTCAGAATATTTTTATTGCAATCGTTTGTTGGTGTTTGTTAGTTACATTTTGACGTTTGTTGTTTGATTGGAATTTAATTATTCAAAAATTTGTACAGTTTTCGACGATGTGGGTACTGTCGGAGTACGTAGTGTCCGTCGGCGAAGTGGTATGGACCATGGTTGGTGTGCCTTGTGGTCACTTTCGCCTTAGTGTCCCTTGTACATCTGTCGGTGATGCGGGCACAATCGGCATAGTGTCCGTCGGCGAAGTGTCCCTAGTTGGCGATATGGACCATCAAAAAATCCTGTCGGGGTTGTGGGAATTCAGCGAAGTGTCCTAGGCTCGGTCCTAGGCCCTTAAATGAATGCGTGCGACATTATGTGTGATCTAAGAAGAAGAAAATGAAGTATTTTCGTCTGTATCTGTACAGTATAGCAAGAACTTTGGGATTTAGGTATTTTAGATGATTTGCATAAATAATTAAGGATAAGCAAGTGTAGGGACCCGTTAGTACGCGTATTACCACCAACCAACACTCATCAAATGACTGCAATGCAGATGTTTCTCAAATTCAAAGGTGGCGAGGCTAATTATACGCCCAAATGTTTGAATTTTGAATATTAAATAACGATCAACCAACAAACGTGAAAATGTAACTAACAAATACCAACAAAGAAACAACAAACGATTGCAATAAAAATATTTTGAAAATTCAAAAAGTAGGGAGTTAACTATAAGTCCAAATGTTTGAATTTTGAATAATTAAGTAACGATCAACCGACAAACGTAAAAATGTAACTAACAAACACCAACAAACAATTGCAATAAGAATATTTTGAAAATTCAAAAAGTGGGGGGCTAACTCGACGCCGGTGACTATGATTAGCAATTAAACAAATTGAAATTCCTACTATGTACAGTGAAAATTAGCACAAAATACATTTATTTTGAACTGTCAATATTTTGTGATAGAGGTTTTAAAAATACTGACTTATAGTCTTGGAGGTACACATTCACGAAAAAATGCAATAGAATTCAATGTCAAACAGCACTACCAATATAATTTTCAACAGTTATAATTCAAAATAATTTACTTTTTCGCATATCCTCAGCTTTCTGAACAGTAGAAATCTACTCTGGGTTCGAGAATTAAGAAAACAATTAAGAAAATTAGTTAGAATATTAAAAATCCAACTGAATCATGGGGGGGGGGGGATACAATCTTTGCTCCCCTAGTATAAAATATGGGGGGACAACTGCCCCCTCGGTTTCAACGCCCTTGTCCACTTCGATTAGAACAAAGTGTGTTCGATCTATGGTGTTCTAACACTACATGGTCTACCTGCATCATTGGTGTTCTTATGAAGAGTCCCAGTTTCTATAAGGCGGGATTGATTGATTTTTATTTTTTTCCCGATAACAAAGCAACAAAGCAAAATATCTCAAAAACTGCAGGAGATACAAAGATAAACCTAAAAAAATCTGTAGATATAGACCAGTATGAAAGCGTTTGAGAATTGAGGACCTATTTTTATATGAACTATTAGTCATAAAATTAGCCCCTTCCGTATTTACATCATATTTAGGAAGACCCTGTATACTGTTTTCACGAAATCGTAATTTTTGAAATAGGGAATCAACAGCAGCTCGCGAGATATTAGCATTGCATTTATACGTTTATAAATACAATGATAGTAGGAAACTGATGCAGTGAAAAGGAATCCGGCCGCCAGCCACTTCTCAAAATGTTTCAAGACATCTTTTCCTTTTTTCAGAACTTGAATTTGAAAGCCGTGGGCCTCCAAAAACGTCCCCAACTTGAAACCCATAATCCTTCGTTATCAGCACCAGACCACGTGCGTTAATAAACGATTAAAAATAAAACTATCGCAAACGGCCAGATGTGTCTTAGTTCAAACACGACACAAAAATGAATACATTACAAAAGTGATCAAATTTAAACAAGAATCTCACTTGATTTTAAAGCTATTAATAAGACATTTCTACTTGAATTTAACATTGAATTACGTTTTCCTATATCGTATATAGTGTTGGACTTATGCTACAAAGTTGAGCGTTTTAAAATAGAATGTAATATGCATACAGGGTTGTACAACGAAAACGAAACAGACTGAATAACTCGCAAGGAAATAGTTTTTGGAAAAAAAAACGTAAAAACAGGCCCTAAGCGGAGTTTTCGCCTCTTCAATAATTTTAAATTGAACGTTGGGTCGAGTGGAAAGGACTCTTAATTTCCTACACGCGTGTGGTTTAGTTTTCAAATTCGTGTAACTCATTTGGAAGGGTTTTTAATTAAAAGATGTCCCCCTTCCAACCAAAATCGACTTGTGTTACCGTTTTTTCAAAAAAATATTTCCTTGGGAGTTATTCAGTCGGTTTGTTTCGTTTTTATTGTGCCACCCTGTATATGTTAAGCAACTTAAGAGACATTTAAAAGAAAATTAGTAGGAGCTTGAGGAGAACTAGAGGTGAATTTGATCTAATTTGAGAGCAACTTAAGGAAAACATTAGGAGGAAGTTCATGAAGGATAAAACCAGATCGATCCCCCCCTTCCCTCTTTTGATAAGGAGCAAAAAAAGAGCGGTAGTTGGTTGAAAACTGTTCCTTTCGTTGAGGCCTTTAATTAGAATGCCATGAAAGATATTAATTTCTAATCCCCCCCCTTTCTCACGTAACCCACTCAAAATAGGCGCGCGGGAAAGTTGTAGTGTCTACAAACCACAGCGACAGGTATAGGTTACCTATTGCACAAAATTTCAGGACTCTACGAATATTCCGGACGGACGGACAAACCGCAAACCTCGCCGCAAACAATAGAAATTTTTTTTTTAATTCTTAAAAAAATGCACTAAAAAGTAAAGGCCTGGCTTACTAACTATGGCAACTCATATTCGTAATATTTGCGCCAATAAATTTAAAAAACGGAACAGGCTTTCGCCTTAGGGCGAGTAACTAGCGGATTTTCTATGATTGTTTTTTTGTACTGCCCAAAACGTCTCATAATGGTCTATTTATGTGTGCAAGGGAAAATACTCTTATATAAGAAGCTAGCGTTGCGCAGACTGCTAAAGCGCAGTGCACACCTGATGTTTAAAATATGCGATACGTTGGTCTTTACTAGAAGACTCTTTGGTTAAAATTTAAAAAAAAATGAAAAAAAAGGTACCTGGCTTTTGGCCATGAATTGATCAGTACTTCCCGCGAGGTCATGTAACGGACTATTTAAGTGTACGAAGGAAAATAAGTTTGGGCATAAATAATTTTATAAATAAGAAACTCGACATTGCGCAGTCTATACATGCGCACACCTGATGTTTAAAATATGCGATATGTTTGCTTTTACTAGAAGAATCTATGGTTAAAGTTTTAAAAAAATATCTCCATAATAAAGAAACATGACGCGCACATATACTTTCTACAAAATGCGATATGCTGGTTTTTACTAGAAGAATCTTTTGTTAAAATTTCAAAAAAATATCTGCATTTTAATAAGACATTCACATTGCCTCGTCTGCGAACGCGCACTTCTGATTTTTACAATATGCGATGTGCTTGTCTATACTGGAAGCACCTGTGATAAATTTCAAGAAAATATTTCCATAAATAAAAAAGATAAAACCGCGTAATTTGTGCATGCGCACATCTATCTATCTCAACATTACCGATACGAAATATTTATATGTCAATCTGTAATTTTTTCTAAGACTAGGTGCGAAAAGGTTTGTGGGGGAAACGAGAGCGCAACAAGTAAAACGACGCTGATGACGCCCCTATAGGGACAAGTCATGAAGAAATCGCGCATGCAACATTTTATTCAAACGGTGTAACTGGGGTACGCACAAAATGATTTCTCAACGAATTTCACGTCTCAATCAAGGTGGCCACATTACATCCTTATCTATCAAGATCTTCTTTTCGGTTCACTTGTGAATCATTTTCAGAGAGTTTCATTTATGAAGAAGTGGATTATTAAATACCTATCCACTATTATAGACATCAAAATGTATTCTGGGAAGAGTGACAAATTGCTCACGTCATTCTCGAAAAAGTGACGAATAGATGACCAATACCACTCACTGGTTTGTACCGTTACCGTTGAGAAAGTTTAATAATAGGCAACCGTGCAATGTGTGTTGCAGCAAGCGCTCTTGTAATTACATTAGCCAAACTTATGTTTTATTTCAAGCTAAAAAAAAACAAATCAAATTAGTGCCAAGATTTAAGCATCAAATTTGTACCTTTGGCTTTTGTTAAAATTAGGAACAAAAAAAACCACGCGTCCCTGAATAGAAACAGACACCCTAAAGTGCCCCATCACAAAAGAATAATTCCTATTCATAGAATTAAATAATCAGAGCTTGCAAATCACGAGGTATAATTGTGCTGTACTAATTTATTTTCGAATGTCACTACCAATGTGCAATGGAAAAAAAGCAATTTCACCCTAACGCTGCATGCAAAACAAAAAGAGTTCGAAATTGCATAACATTGAAATATATTTACCAATATATTTTGTTCGTCAATAACTTGTAACTCCTGATACTCCATTCTCGCTAAATTTGTTTCGGAAATGACTATAAAATAAATTTGAAAACACACACCAAAAGAGAGCAAAGTTACAGTTTCACACACACAATTCAACGTGTCGATATGTTTACAAACAATCGCAAGGTCATCAGAAACGTCACTTTAAAGTTACACGTGCCCGATATAACAGAATTCTGTTTGTGGGGGAGTACGTAAAATTAAATAGAGTTCATTTTGCTACACAGAAAACTTTTTGATCTCAGCGCCACCTAAGGAATGGTAGAATAATTAAACGGTAAATGTTTGTTGTATCTGCACTACTACTGTCGGTCTACTCACTGAAGATGGCTGTAAGAGCATCACAACCCTTTGTAATTTATTATGATTTATATAGGCTGGATTTTTAAATATGAGCTGTCTGCATTGTTTCCGCCTATCATTGTAACAATTAAGTCTTTTTGTCTGGAAATTCCCTCTAAAAGTATATTATGTTAGGAGTTTTATAAGAAGCTTTTAATATAGTTTATAATGAAAGATTTTGTAGAGCGCGTGGTTTTTTAGGAGTGTAAGTGCGACAAAAGGCTTTTTTTACTTTGCGTTTTTGGAAGAAAATGTACGAAGTTTTGGCAGCGTTGAATATTTACAGAGTGTAGGTAATGCGGCTATGAAAAAGTGAACATATTCTTGAAAATTAGTTTATGCATTGAATTTTTTAAATTCAATGGTTTATGCTGGACATGCTTCCGTAAGTGTGGAGTTCTGCATGTTTCCCACTTCCGCTTCACCTTCCGATTCAGATATTTTGTAACGGAAGTGTACCGCAATTTTCAAATATGGCAAGGTGCGCTGTGCGCTCTGATTGGCAGAACGGAACGGCGCGTGACGTGGGCGGGGTTTGAGAGCCGAGCAGGTCATCAGACGTATCGCGATTTGTTTGTCTTTGTTTACCTTTATTAATCTCATTAGTTCGTCGCAACAAATCGTGCGTTTTATCATACACTAAATTGTTCTGATTAATTAATTTAGTTTTTATCACATCAACTTCCGCTTCCGATCCCCTGTCTACATCCGCTTCCGCAAACATATTTTCTCGTCTCTTTCCGCTTCGGCACCCGTTATAACACTTCAGTTGCATCACTAGCGCCACTATGGCCATTCTCGAAAGGATAAGAGAAACAAATTTGGTTAAATGGGAGAAAATAAAAAGTGTAACAAGATAGCGTTTAGAAATTTCTGAAAATTTTGTGAATTCTGGAATCTTTTGAAAAATCGGATTTTTCGATTCCACAAACTGTTTTTTTCTGGCGTTAATATATTTTGATCTAGAGCAAAACCAATCACGCTTCACCACAGCAACCTTTACGGTGGCGTTATTAATTTTTTAATCCAATGTTTTGTTTTTGCGGAACCATGATTTCTTCATATACGGCCCTAACATTCCGATAATTTGGTATTGTGAATTCAATCAGCGTTTCTCAATCTTTTTTATCACGTACCCCAAATAAACACCCTTACTCACAGCTGTACCTACCGCCTGCACCGTCATATGTTCATAACTGTTTTATATGACATTTGAAATAAAACAACACCCAATCATCCGGCGTCCTTGGATCAAAAAAGAAATACTTAGATCACATCTAACTCAAGACTCTGTTCCTATCCTTTGATTTTATCGCTTAAGTGTAAGTGTAGGTGCTAAAAAAGCGCTTTGACTATGTAGGTTGCTGGAAACGGTAGCAAGGCAGTAAGCGCTGTTGCCGAGAGTTCTGAACAATCATGGTGAATACTATCCCAAAATTCAGCTACGTCACTAGGAAGGCGCGAATGGACTGGCAAGTTTGTTACGTTTTTTTCTTATCGATTTAAATTCTCACACCATCTAGATATTTCCTTTGTAAACCCGTTTAGTAAAAATGTACGCAGTTATTCATGACCGCAGTTCTTTGTTTCGCCGTTAAAGGCCACCGGTTACAGGTTTATTTTACCTAGTTCTTTGTTTCGTCGCTAGTATCTGTGATGATCCTCTTTTCTTTTTACCACTTGCGCGTTAGTAAAGAATTGCATTGAGGTTAAAAATAACCTCCCATTTTTTTGACGTAAATATACGTTTTGAAGCACCAGGAATCTGAAACAAACAAGATCTCGATTATATCGGTCTGTTGGTCCGTCTATACTCTCATTTCCGGCTGAACCGATTGGAACCAAATATGGTACACGTATTCTTACAGATAAAAGGAAGAGGTGAAAAGCTTTTGGGTAGAATCGCGCATGCGAAAGTGTGTTAAACTCTTCCGGCTGAACCGATTGGAACCAAATTTTATTCTCAGACAAAAGGGCAGAAACGCACATGCTGAGGTGTGCGGATGATATCTGTGCTAGCAACAGCAATTTTTTTCTACTTAGGCCTTCCTTTTCAGTGAAGATTTTGCCGTCGTTTTGGTCGGTTGCAAATTATTTTTCCTCGGTGCCCCATTACTTTTTGAGGGCTTAATAGTTTTGGCTGTCACCATATATCTTTGAAGTGGTTTCTCTTTTTGAGGTCTGTGGCTGTGCCCCATTGATGAGCGCTTTAGGCGGATTTGTATTTGCAACTAATCAGTACGAGGTTACGTAGATTGTTGCATTTTGCTTTTGATTAGACAACGTAAATTTTCGATTCTAATTGAGTATTAATTACGGTTTAGTATCCGATTGCCCGAGTGTCAGACGAATGGTCAGACGTTAGAATTGCTTTCGCAATATTTTATGTGCCGCGCCATTCACTATCCTTCATATTTGTTTGTTTGTGTTATTATCTGTTACAGATTGGCAGAAAGCGCCCTCCTTGAACTCCAAAAGGCTGTTGCGAAATGGTTGCGACCTGTAGTTCAAAACGTAATTTGTTTTTATTTTCGTCGATTCCTTGATATAACGTTTGATTACATACTGGATTTCGATGCAATCGAATTGTAATTACATTTCTTTGATAGTCATTTAACGAATACAGCTTTTTCTTTTTCTGCAAAAGCGTGTTTTGATATTATTACATAGATATATAAATACATTACACTTACGCCATCTAGGTAACTTCTTTGCAATTCAGTAGTCAAATGTAGATTTCTTTCAATAGTTAATTCTATCACCATATTGTCGCTTCCCGAAGCAGTTGCTATCCCTGCTTCTTCTTACAATTGTATTCTTGCCTGTATTTGTATTACTTAGGTACCCTTCAGTAAAGTTTGAGTTCTTGAACTCAGGTGATCTAAATGTTTTCTCTTGTTTCCACCATTACTCTTATTGGTTTCGGTGTACCACAATTACCTTTGGGGTGTTCTTTTCTTCCTTTCTGACGTTTGTGGTGACTCCATCGACACGTTTTTTTACGGATTTGGGCTTTACATCTGACCACTTCGAGGTACGTTGTATTATGGCGCAGTATTTTTCTAAACAGGGTTTATTTTTAGAGCTTTAATTTTCTCATCCCTTTGCTTACAATTTTCTTATTATTTCTCATCGTTATTGCCTTTGGATTACTTTTTATGTTGGATCTACCTGAATATTACTACGATCCACGCCGTATGTGGATGATAGAAGTTTTATTTGGACCCGCAATTTTAATGGAAGATTGATGTTGGCGTGATGCGATATATGGACTTTTTGTTTTACCTGCATGCGTCATCCTAACTGCATTGGTCATTGAACCTGCTTCATTCTACAAGCAGCTTATTGCCCTGTGACCCACTTACATGGACTTCGTTTATCTACATTTCTATCGCTGCTGCTGATTCCTAATCACGAGACGTTTGGAGATTATTACTGTCGTAGAAAAACTACTTCAACCTCTTTCACCCCCTGCCCCCAGGGTCATTCCCTTAATAGTTTTAAATGACGAGTGGTATCGAGTAATAGCTAATTTGAAAGGTCTTTCGAAGTCCTTTATTTTGACGTTTGATTTTTAAAAATCGATCGATTCGTTTTCGAAAAAACTTCTCCGGAGGACCCGTATACGTTGCCGCTAGCAAGTGTTACTGTCGCAAGTTGCTCGCGAGATAATTGTCGCAAGTTGACTTAGTGGTTTTTATATCTGGACAGTGCTGTTAGAGGATACTTTCAGACGATAATACAAAAGGTCATCTTTTAGAATTTCTGAGCGCGACTCTACAAAAATAGTTTGCCCAGAAAATGGATGTGTTATCTACTTCTTATTGTTCCCATTTTCTTCTATTCCTAGGAAATACCGCAGAAATTCGTTGGCAACATTCCGAAGATAGTTTTTTAAATTATACCTTTCTATTCGGACGTAGGCAGATTGATCTTGTTTTCGTCAGCATAAACCACTAAGACAAGCGGGAATTTGTTGTGGAAGATTTAGTGGGGAATTAAAGGCAACCACGACAAAAGGATATGAAGTTTTATGAAATCATATAAGTGAGTCGCATGGAATTATAGGCCATGAAGTATAAATGAATGGAAAAAGAAATGAAACGTTTAGAACGAAACCTAGGTTCTCAATTAAAGGGAGAGACAGAGTAGGTTTAAGGTAGAGAACGTGAACGAGAAATAGGTGGTAGATGGTAAGTGTAACAAGTTAAAAAGTAATCGTAAACGATTTACATAAAGCGCATTTCCACTTGCATTCATTTCCCATTTGTAAGATGCAACTTCTGTTAAAATCGTAAAAATCCGGCCACAAATATGAAAGATAGCGTTGCACATGAGCAATCCATTTTTGACATGCTATTTCAATTTCAGTTTATAAGAAGAATTTCATTTCAATGCTTTTCTAAATAAGAAAGTTGGAACTGCGCATGCGCAAACCTAAATTTTAAAACTAATGTTAGATTTTCCTTTGTTCCAAGCGACTAAGTATCAAATTTCACTTAAATAGTTCCATAGATAAAAAAGTTGGCACGGCGCATGCGCAAAATAAAATTTTGAAACTGGCGCTAGATTTTCCTTTATCCCAAGTGCCTATGTATCAAATTTCGTTTAAATTCTTCCATAAATAAAAAAGTTGGCACTGCGCATGCGCAAAACCAAATTTTGAAATTGGCGTTTGATTTTCCTTTATCCCAAGTGCCTATGTATCAAATTTCGTTTAAATTCTTCCATAAATAAAAAAGTTGGCACTGCGCATGCGCAAAACCAAATTTTGAAATTTGCGT